GGTTGGCTCACAAAGAGTTTAAGAGATAAAATTAAAGCATCATAAATTTAAATTGACTGGTATGACAGGAGATTTAGAAGATCAAAAAGTGGTGAAACAGGAAATTCAAACATCAAAAATGAAGAATGAGAAAAGGTTAGCTGAAAATGTAAAAAATAACAGTATGGGTGTCTTTAAATACATTAATGGTAAACAAAATGTTATGATGGGAGTATGACCCTTGAAGGATGATAAAGTAAGGCTAGTATCTGATGGTTATGAGATGGCTGGGTTATTAAATTTTGCTTTTTCTTCTGTTTTTGCTAACAAAGAATTAAGCAGTATTCCACACCTTGAACAGTTGATAGATAGAAACAAGATTGGAAATGAGATCAAACAAGATGACTGCATTAATTTTGAGCTGGTTAAGAAAAAATTGGGAAGTTTAAAAAACAATAAGGCTCCTGGGCCAGATAATATTACCCCAAGGGTTTTGAAAGAGGTTAAACATTGGATATGTGAGTCACTTGCTACTATTTTTTGTCCTTCAGTAGTAGGCAGGTTCCAGAGGATTGAAAGTCAGCTAATGTAACTCCTCTTTTCAAGGGAGGCGATAAAAAGTATCCCAGTAATTATAGACCCATTAGTCTTACATCATTTGTGTGAAAGGTTTTGGAAAGTCTGATAAAAGATGCTTTACAAAGTCTAGAATTTTATTGGATAGTCAACATGGTTACACTAAAGGAAATTCTTGCCTTACAAATATTTTAACATTCTTTGAAAAGGTTACTACTTATATAGATGAGAGTAAGAGTGTAGATTTGGTGTATCTGGATTTACAAAAAGCATTTGACAAGGTGCCACATAAAAGGCTTGTAAAAACATTATTTCTGCAAGTGTGGAGAATAAGTTAGCAAATTGGATAGAAGAGTGGCTGGATGGAAGAAAGCAGAGGGTTGTTACAAATGGAGTTCAGTCAAACTGGATTAATGTCACAAGTGGGATACCTCAGGGCTCAGTCTTAGGACCTTTGCTCTGTTTGATTTATATCAATGATATAGATGAAGAAGTAGTCAATAAATTACTTAAATTTCCTGATGATATTAAGGTCTTGAGTGTTGCTAGCTGTGAAGAAGATGCTGCTGATTTACAAAAGGATTTAGATCATTTAGTGAGTTGGGCAAATAAATGGCAGATAGGTTTTATTTATAATAAATGAAAGATAATGCATGTGGGTTATCATAATTTGAATTATTAGTATAATTCGGATGGGAATAACTTTAATAGTGTTATGAAGGAAAGTGATCTTGGTGTAATAGTCGATCAGTCTCCAAAGCCACCCAAGCAGTGTGCTGTTTCTAGTGGTAGGGCAGATAGGATTTTAGGTTGTATCTACAGAAATATTGAATACTAGTGTAAAGAGGTTATAATTTTGTTGTTCAGGTCACTGGTTAGGCCACATTTGGAGTACTGTGTTCAAGTCTTGGGCTCCTTACCTTAGGAAAGACACTGAATTGTTGGAAAGGATTCAGAGAAGGGTTACTAGAATGGTGCCTGGGGGTTGTCATATGAGGAAAGATTAAGATCTATGAAATTGTTTTCTCTTGAAAAAAGAAGAGTTAGAGGAGAGCTGATTATGTTATGTACGTTATTTGTTCACATTTTATCATATATATAACAGTAGAAATGTACATCTTACAATACTTTATTACAAAATGCTTATTAATTTCAAAATGATCATAAAATGAATATATCTAAACACACTCCAATGGTAGAGAATTAATATATAACAGTATACAATTCTCTGTTCTTTGCTATTAATTCCAGATGATAAGAATCCTTAGATTTGGAAAAAGATTCAAATTAGTAACTCATATTTTTTTGTTTTTAATTTCCAAAGTTAAACACAGTTGAATGTAAAATCTGTTGTTTTCTCTTTCTTAACACTGTATGTTTGCTGGGCCTATTTGACCAACTTTTTTAACCACCTCAAAAACTGAGAACAAATCTAAGTTACTGTTTTTTCTTTATAGAATGACTGTAAATTGTTATAATCAATTACACACTATACAAATGTATATAGAAAACAACAAAAGTTAGTACTTTCCGAGGGTCTTGCACTTTTTGCTCGTGAAGTACTGAAGAACATTAACCCATTTTTGTATTACACTGGATTTTTATTTATTTTAAATATTTAATTTAGAACACAAAATATTAACATGCTACAAAAACACTCTCCTAAAACTGTAGAAACACACAAGCTTAACACTAAAAACCTCTATTACAAGCATCACAACTACAGAGATACCTGTTATGTGTTTTACAGTTCACATTCCTTATTCTGTAGTAATGTGCAGTTTTTGATTTCAGGTAAGAATGACACACGATCTGTTCCTTATTTTGCCTAGAGTGCATAATGTTTTAATGCTTTATTTCCTTCAGCATTACAATTTGATGATAATGCTAAAAATGGACAAAACTAACCACATATGTCATCACAAACTAAGTGCTAATTCTAAATAGTTTACTTCAGTAAGAAATATTTAGCTGCTACAAAGTATAATAAAAACAATCATTTTCACTCAATGTAATAAAATTTTCATTTTATTGGGCTACCTCGTTTAGCTTTGATTTATTTGTGACAATTCTTTATTTTAATCTAATATTTAATAACTTTAATATCCTAAAGTACTATAATACATATCATTGCTCTTTTAAATACCCAGTGAAAATAATTCAAAGTCTAGTCTTGTAAATTATTACAAGTTAGTTTATTTCTTCCTTTCACATTTCTACAAGCTTGAACACTTAAGGCCTAAGTTACAAATGACATTAACTAACATAAAACAGATCAACTTACACAGATCCAAATACTTCAAGAAAACACATGACTGATTCAACTATCTTGAAAAAACTTTACACTCTCTTAATTATATTCTTGACTATTTTTAAACACACCCAACTCTTGAAACAGTTAATTTTTTCCCAAACCCAATGACTTAATATATGTGTTTCCCTAACATTGCACAGAATGAAAATTAACAGGCCTATCTCCACAACACTGTACATCCTTTTGAGTTCCAAATCACAAAGTTTCATGTTTAAACATAAAACATTAAAAGAGAATGATGCTGAGATATACTAAGACCAATATTAGTAATGATTCCACAATTTTAATGAGTTCCCGGGATATTAACTAGTGGCAGTAGTGCAGAAATGAAGCATTTTCTGAGATCAATTCTGTGACTGTGAGAGCAATTACCTTGGAGTCTTCACAAAGTATAAAACACTATTTTAATATTAAAGTATCATTTCCTTCAACAATATAATTCTTCATGATATTTAATTAATTTAAAGGATTCTTCTGCAAGGCATTTTTCTTTACCTGAAACTGTGCAAGTTACCTCTGAAGAATGCATATAAACTTTATAAAATTAAAATGAGGCATTCTTCAGAGGTAAAGTTTTCATAGTTTTAAAATACTGGTACAGTGATTGCGTGGGAACCAGTCAATTACTGGACCTGGGCCCTCACAATAAGGTCTACCTATTTATAAAATTATATACGTGTAGCATTATACCATATGTTCTCACATACCCAAAGCTCTAGTTATTATGAATACTATTACAATGTAACTTGCAGATCTCGGAAACTCCATCAAAAAACAAACTTTAAAAAATTATTTGTTTTTCTTAAGTGAAAAGCTCATGAGCATTGCAACAGAAAAGCACTTTCATTGACAACTGCGTCTACAAAGAAATACTTCAAATTCAATAAAATAAAATCCTTTTTCTCATGGACGTTGAACATTATTGAATCTCAAGTATGAGTACATTGTTGATGAACTGTCAGACAATTCCGGAAAAGGCCGCAGGCCCAATAGACTTCTGTGGGAACTAGCAGTTAGTTATACCTGCTTAGAGAGCGGGCATTTCTGCTAGTTAATAAAAATATAGCTTAGCTTATATTTATACTTTAGGCCTAGGTGAAGTACGTTACGTGACGTGATACTGTATGATATATCAATTCATAACGATACTTAATGAATCGCTTAGTATTTTCAGTTATTATTGAATAATAATAACTATATTATTAACCAAATTAAACCAAAATATACATACCACGCTATTCCTCAAATATTATGTTACTAAGACGTAAATTTATTATATCACCAAAAGAAATATTACAAGCTGGTAAATCGAATAGAGCGCGCACTTTACAAACTGTTTCAAGTTGAAAAAAATATATACCAATTAATTAGAGCGATTCAAGAACCTAAGAATACTTAAAGTAATTAATATTTTCTCTAAGAAAATCAGGCAAATAATCGATTTTACCCTTTAAATCTATTAACAGATTGTAAGTGTATATATAATAAATATTTTTGTATCAAACTTTTTGAGTGGACAAGACAACCTGTTATGCTCTATTTATATACAGAACGGAAAAGAGAGTGAAAGAAAATATAAGCTAACCATTGTAAACATTTGAAAATAAAATTAATATTATTACTGCGGACTTACAACGCTAGAATCCAGGTTTCGATACCCGTGGTGAGAAGAGCACAATGTTGCGTCAGCGAGGTCACGTGACTAGTATCACGCCACCTCCTTCTAGAAATATCCTGTTCCTTCGTGAATTGTCGGGAGACTACTAGATTGGGGGTAGCCTGGTATATATAAGACGGTC